ACCATGAAAAGCCATGTGTCTTAGACACTTTGTCTTCTGAAGAGCTGTGCAAGTAACTCGGTTTCATTGGAGAAGGACAGAAGAAGCTTGGCTAGCACGGAGTATGAAGATTTATTAGAGCCTAGATTGAAGCTTTGTATCTGGTGAAATGTTACACTTGATAACTATAGAAGTGAGTGAGTGCATCTGAAGGGATGATACATATTTGAATATTCATTTACTGTAAGTCTTTCGCAGTTTTGGACTAAAATGTGAACGTAGAAACTCGGTAGTCTCTGCTGCACCATCAGTATGATGAGATGCCATTTAGTGTTCTCAGTGGTTTCCACATCCTCCTGCCAAGGATCCTTCAGCTGTGTAATGGCATTGTTGGACGTACCCAAATGGTTCTGGTTATGGAAATGTGTTTGGAGGCAGCCTGTAAACTCTCAGTGACTGCAGCCAGCGCAGGCTGGAGCAAATAGAACTGGAGCTGTGCAGAAATTAGAGTGGGAGATAGAAGTGAGAAAGCTTCACAACATGGTAGAAGGGATCATAAAGAGTAAACTAGCTCAATGCCTTATTAGAAAAAATACCTTTTTACTAGGTGAAGCTGTGTAAAGAACTGTCCTGTCGTTTCAGTGCAGTTCACAGAATGAGCTTTAGACTCTATTTACGAATCCCAGTACCTGAAACCGTGTCAGTTTTTACTGCAAACAAGCTTGCTACATCTCAGGTGTATTTAATGATATCCATCTATCTCCTGCAAGTGAAAACTTGCTTCTAATAAACTTCTTATAGATACTAGAAAAAATGATGGCTTGATGGGTATGATGTTTGTGATCACCTAGCACAACTGACTTGAAACAAACTCCTTCGTGTAGTTGGAAACCACTGAAGAACTAGCAAAGCTGTTGTCTCAACTCCATGATGTGCCAGGTTAGCTTCTTGCTCTGTTTAAGGAAATGCAAGGAATTTTTCACTACATCATTCTCTCATACTTTGCATTTTGGTTTTTGAGTAAAATGCAATACTTTTTACTTTTTATTTAAAACAAACCAAAAAAAAGGTAGATGAGGCCTTAAAAAAAAAAAAAAAACCATCACCCAAGTAAATGGTTTACTGACAGATTCCAAATGTTGACACACCTCAGATGGGAACATCTGTAGGTCCTCTGCAGCTTGTGAGGTAAAATGCACTTGTAAGACACAGCTTGAGGTTGCCTTAAAAGAGAAGCTGTTGGTGATCTTTGTTTTTCGTGTACTGACTTTGCCAATAAGTAACCTCTTTGGAAGCCCATAGAAGGCTGCTGTGAATGTTGTGTATGCAGTATTTTCTAAAAACTTTTGCTCCTACAGAGAACTTCTAAGCATGTAAGCTTAATTGTCAGTGGCTACAGTTGTCCAAGAGGGATATATAGGGAGACTTTTTAGAAATTAAAAAAAAATCAAAACCTGTAACTTGTTTAAAACATAGTCCTGTATTCACGGGTGTTGAAAGTATACTGTGTGTAAATTATGGTACAGTAGTCACCCAGTCTCTCTGTGAGCCACCGGTACTTGAGCTGCACTCGGGAACAGTTTTCTTTGATAGCAGTAGCTGTTGTATGTGTTGGTAGCGTGGTATTCGCAAGCATGGGGATTTGGGGCAGTGAGGGGAGCAAGAACCCAGCAGATGGAATTACCTGCTCTTCTTGGTAGATGCACCAACTGCTTAGCTCCATTCTGCTGCAAGAGTGTAATGAGGTAAGCATATGCAACAGATGGAAGACTTTAACTAGCTGATCACATAGGATACAGTGTAGTTTAGGGACACCATGTAGTTCTAGAAATGAGCTAGCTTGGATATTGGAGGCGATCTACCTGCAGCAAATAATTTAGTGTTGTCTGCTCCCCTGCAGTTTCCAGTCCCAGAGTGCTACCACTGACCTCTACAAGCCTGCTGTTGGGAGCACAGTGATATTTGTGACACTCGACCAAACCCTTCCCAGTTGTTTTCTGAAAACATAAATGTTGAACTGGTCATACTCCTTTTTTTATGACATTCTCTAATTTTTATACTATGAAACTTGCTGCGAAACAAGTGAGTCTGAGATAAGCAATGTGAGATCTGTAAAGAGCTACCAACACTTCATTATGTTTTGTTCTTAACATATCCTGTAGTTATTACTTCAGAATCTTGTAACTGAAACACTTTATCATGGCATATGGTTTTAGTTTTCAAAAAGAGCTTTGTTCTATATCCTGCATATTTTCCATTCTCTTATGAAACTTGTTTCGTCTTAAAAACTTGTTGTTTCTGTCCTGACACTTGTGAAACATTAAATTGTTGCCGTTTCAGACGTTTGAAAGGTTCTTTAGTTAATTTGTGGAGAAAGGCATACCTAGGTATACATCTTCCCACAATATCATGCCCCGGGGTGTCTTTTGTCCACATCTGAATAGCACCAACCAGCTCTTAACAAAAACTGTAACTTCACTGTGTAGTTGGCTGTGCATAGACACAAAATCCCTTGTATCCCCCTCCCCACCCTGCCCTGGAAACTGAGGCTTGGGGATACCCACTTTGAAGATCATAGTGAGCTGAATGGAATATTGGAGGTGACATTTTCAGGGGGAGTGGGGTTGTTCTTGGGTTTTGGGGTTGTTTTTGTGGTGGTTTTATGTACTTTCCTTTTCCCAGCCCCCATTTCAAAAGGGGAAATGTTTACGAAGACTACTTGTATGCCTGACTGCTCAGTACGTAACAAAAGGCTGGTCTACAGGCTTTTATGTGCCAGACTGAAACGGTATAAACTGGTTCACACTGACTGTGAACAGCAACAGGGGAAGATGTGGATTTCAGCAACACAACGTTTCGGTAATTGGGAGCTTCCCTGAGGTTTTATTATAAATGAATCCTGTGAAAAAGAGAAACAGGTCCCAGGCATAGAGTTATGAATGAAGGACTGAATGAATCTGGGTCTGCTGGTAGAGGAGCCTTTCTGCTTATCCTTTTGTTTTGAAAGGGGAGGAGGAGAAATTAAAACATTCAGAATGGAAAATGAGTTTGTGATAACTTGGGCTGTGACTCAGTTAAGGATATGTCACTTTCCTGTTTGGTCCGTTGCCACTGGAGATGCTCTAAGTGATGGGAATCGGCTGTTTTCAGGAAGTTTAAAAACAGATACCTGTAGAAATGATGAAACTAAATGTTCAGGGAAAACTTTAATTTATGTCTTGGTTTCCTTTTCATCCTAAACCACTGATCAGTTCTGTAGTTCAGCATTAGAGATTGTATTATGAAGAGCCTCAGAGAGCTGAAATGCCCCTTTATGTGTGAGAGGAAGGATGCTTTTGAATTCAAATGATATTGTGGTCTGCTTAATAGCTGAGCACTGAAGCACAGTCAGAAAGCAACAAAGGCAAGTTCCTAGGAATTTTTAATATGGCTGTCTTCTCAGTTTCCTCTTAGAAAACGACAGTGTGTTTTGAAGAGTCAGCAAAGAAATGGCTTAGCAAGACAACCTGACTTTTATCACGCTGGTGATATACACCCCTTCTCACCACTGTCACACGTGCTCTTACAAGAGCAGTGTTTACCCCCACAGGCTGCTGTCACGTCCGCACTCGCCTGCATGGCAGTGAGTCCAGACCGTCAGCTGTTGACATCTTGGCACTGCTCTAACCAGATGTTTCTAGCCTTCCCAAGCTCGCAGCAGATAATGTGGCAGGCTATATAAAATCATCATCTTGCAGCCCACGCTCTAAACAAGTAATTCAGCACCAGCTTTCCTCAGCAATTTAAAACTTCTCTTTAAGAAAAGGAACCCTGGACTTCCTGCCAAAATGTCTGATAAAAATTACCTTGAAGAATGGCCTGGAGTGAGGGGGGCGTTTAACTGGTTTTTCTCCTGCTGTCAAGAGGGAATGTGTATGGAATATTTGCTTAGGAAAGTCTTTCTGAGAAATAAAATCACTGATGATCCCAATTCTATTGAGATGATCATCAGTGATGCTACTACTTTATGTTACCATTCACAGCCCATAAATGAAAATAAATAAAATCCCCTGAGAACTTAAACACTTGTCAGATAGTTACTATTTTGAAAGCCAGCACTTGTCAACAATTGCCATACGGTGATATCTGAGAAGCAGTGTCACCTATATATTTAGAAACTGTGGCAGCTGTTTGCAAATCTGGTAGTCATTTTTAATCACCAGTGGTTTACTGACTGGAGTTTTGTTACACCTAATATAAAAGCCTGGTTTTTTCCTTTCTCCTACAATCCTTTCAGACTCACTTGAGTGCCTCTCTAACCTTTTCTCTCCCCAAGCCTTGCTAGAAAAGAAAAAATTAAGAACTAACAATAGCAATAAATGCATTTCCTTCTGCCCCAAACCTTTTGCAAAAGGAGTAAATTTTGAAGTCTCAGAAATGTAAAGGAGGTTGTACTGAGGTTTTGTGTTATGGTTTGGACACATAGTAGGGCCTCACTGTAGCAGTCACTAAATAAAAATGTCCTGCCCCTGTTCTCAGACTGCGCTCTAGCTGGGCTCTTCTACCCAAGAAGTAAAGTCTGCTGCAGTTTGGGATCTGGGAAATAGAGCTACTTATTTCAGCAATAAGGAATGGAACTCCAAAAGGAGTCTTCAGAAGTCAGTGAACCAGTGGGCTGATGAACACGAATGGAAAAATAACCCTCCTTTTCTTTTTCTCAGATAAAGATAGCGTTAATTGCTACCCCAGGGTGGACTACGTGGTGACAGAGCTGAAAATCCAAAGCAGGTAATGCCCTGTTAGATAAGGAAGTGTAACAGAACCAAGAAAACATGTGAGGGACTCCCCAGGGGAAAAAGGGCAACCTTTATCATAACCAGGTTCCATGATAGTGCTTGAAAACATTAGAAAGCTACAATTGTATAATGAAGTTGTGCCCAAGACCCACTCCAGGACAGAGTACGGTGTAAGACCACAGTTCGGTTAAGATTACTTTTGTTTTGGCTCTTCTCCAAAAAACATCTCTCTTCTTGACATTCACATTAATCTTCAATGTTTATAGGAGCAACGGGATTAAAAATTGGCCTCTCCTTCTTTGACTGTATCTTACCATAATTTACTTCAAAATCTTTCTTTGTACCATTCAAGCTTTCTAGAGTTCCACTCTTTATATCATATCCCAAAGCAGAGAGTTTTTTAATTCGATACTGAATGATCTGTGTTGTCAGCTCCAGCACCATCGGTGTCTCTCTAATCTGCGCTACAGAAATCCCTTCCTTCAGTAGTCCTTCAAGTCTTTCTTCCAAAACTGGAACAGAATAGTAGAGAAGGGCTGGGCATTTCAGCACCAGCTGTTTCAATTCTTGATCACTGCATTTAAAGACACTTTTGGAGAAAAGCATACTCTGCTGCATAGTAGTAGGAGTAAGTTGAAAAATAAAACCTTTAAGTTTGGACAGCAGCTGTAGAACTTCATGGTCAGTGAAATCATTCTTCTGGAGAAATTCCAAGTTCTTCGGGATTGCAGTGGAGGTATTTAATAAAATAAATGGATTTTGGCTCAATAGCTTCAGTATCCAGATCTTCATATTGGCATCAGAACCTCCTAAACTTAAATAATTTCTCTGTAATGTCTTTATCACATTTTTGTTCTTCTCAACAGGATTGTAGAAAATACTGGGTGCACTTGTCAAGAACCTGGTGATTATATTATTCTTAAGTCCTAGTTCTTGAAAAAACAGTATATTTCCCTTCTGGTTCTCGTGATATTCAGTAGTAAAAAAAGATTCTGGAAATTGCTCTATTAATTTAATCAACTGTTTTTCATTCTGGCATACTAATTGCCATAGAGCTTTCTGAGAGTTTATTGCTGCAGGGGTACGGAGAATTGCCTCTGGGCAGCGTTCTAAAATGTTAGCTACAGTGGTCTTGTCCGCTCCCATTTCTTGTAAGGTACCAGCAATTTCTTTAACATAGGCCACATCCTGGAGAAGGACCCATTCCTTTAGTCTGCGTATTTTCTTAATGTCAACTGACAAACTATACAGACTCTCAATGGTTTTTTTATTTTCCTCTCTTGATTTTGTATCAGTTGTGTAACTGGAATGTACTGGGAAGCTTCTCTTTGCTACTTCAGTCCATACTGATGAAAAATTCAGTCCTGGGTTACAGTTCCGAGATCTTGGCAGCAGAAGAGTAAATACATCTTTTGCACCATGAGCGACTCCTCTCAACATCATGGATTTCAGCCCTGCAGAGAGAGAACAACTGTAAGAAAACACATTTAAGGCACAAGTTATACCTCACCATGTTCTCGGAGACACTGAGCTAGCGTAAGAAGTTACTCTCAACAGGTTTTTTTTGTTACTAGCACAGAATTCAGCTTTCATGCAAAAGCAGGCGGAAGAAGAGACTTTTGAAATGTTAATGTTCTGATGGACACCTCATTGGAACAATAGCAGGTGGATTTGACAGACCTGATGTGGGGGCAGCGCTCTTGTCCGCTCTGTCCGTGTAAATGCCTCCAGTCAGACAAGAGCCAAACTGTCACCCGCTTCCTGCGCTAACGTTACTACGTTACAGCTCACTCGTACTATATTAGAAGGTTTCATGTAATTTAATTTGACAGCATCACAGAATCACAGAATGTCAGGGATTGGAAGGGACCTCAAAAGATCATCCAGGCAAATCCCCCTGCAGGAGAAGGAACCTAAATGAGATCACACAGGAAGGCGTCCAGGTGGGTTCATAATGGCTCCAGAGGAGACAAATACTAAATTATTTTTTTAAAAAAGCAGCTTAAATATCTTTCTTAACTCTTCTCTATGTATTTGCTTAACTTCTCGAGCATCATTTTGAGCGTGACTTGTTCCTTCATGTGTCAGAGACCCCCCTGGTGTCCTTCAGTAGCAGCTCATAGCCAAACTGCGTTGTGAAATCATTTGTGTTATAATTAAGGGAAAAAATCATCAAAACCTTTATGTCTGTGTTACTCGCTGAGTCTGTTAATTGGGTTCTGAATAAGCACACTGGTATTTTGGGGGAGGAAGCAAGTGCACTGTAACTAATCTTCAGGCCTTTGCTTGCCTCTTCCTGTACCTACTTTGCTACAGCTGCCCTTTGCACTGAGGCCTCGTTTCTGTCTCCAGGTCACTTCTGTCCTTGTCAGGCCCCCAGCAGGCAGAGAGTCCTCGTGGAGTAAGCGTGTGGTTGTGCTGGAGTCCACACAGCAACCGCGGGGCACCTGTGGGTAACCCCATACCCCACCTTTGCTCAAACTGCCTGCCAGGTGTAACCAACAGCACATGTGGTGCCACCTGCTCTGCAATGGTTGAAGGAGCTGTAGCAGACCAACAGAGAGATCATCAGCTGTATCTCTGACTTCCTAGGTGGTGTTTTCATAACAACCTTTCGGAAGCACAGAGTGTGACGGGGAGAATCGCTGGCCTGTGAAATACTCACACAAATCACTGCTGCTGGTAACGTGCTTAAAACTGCTCAAATTGAAAAGGAGAGAGGAAAAAAAAAACACAATTGTGCATTTGACAATTCTGTTTATACAACTGCTTCCACCTCTTCCAGTGTTGCATGCTTCCAAAAATACCCTCAAAAGCATTAAGTTCCATTATTTGGGGGTTTGTTTTTTGTTGTTGTTTTTTTAAGGAGAGAAAAGACTGCTATCCATTCTAATCTCCTGCATAACACAGACCAAGACGCTTAATGCAGGAACAGCTACACGAGACCCCTAGAATCTTCTTTGTATCCCATCTTTTAAGAAAACGTGGTTTGTTCAGAGAAATTAAGTGATAGAGCTGCTATCTTATTCCCAGGTAAGGTTAAATATTCTCCAGTAGTAAAATTCTTTATCTCAAGAAAGTACCTTTAAAGTTGATGTTTTTCAGCTTCTAAAAGCTGGACTCTTGTTATGTCGCTACACCATAAACTAATAGAATAAGGCATAAAATAATTTCCTATATGCAAGCTTATGTTATTAACAGAAGCTGTCTATCAGTAACTTGTTTTGTAGTATCGTTTCAAATCTCTGAGGCAAAATCTGATTGCCTAATGAAGCTGCTTGTGTCATAACCCCAAGGCTAATGATTTTATCTTCATAAACTTTGGGACTTGGGAAGTGCTGTCCAGCAAGCTGCGCCACAGAACAAGCAATTTTTCGCAATAGCCCTGAAAGCACTGTAAGTACAGGTAAGTTTCACATGCTGACCTTTCCACCTCCTGAAAAAGTGACTGTTTCATGGGGACTGCAAACTAAAGCCTCTCCTCTGCAGGGAGTGACACAACTGCCTGTGTCTGAGTACTCTGAGTTGAACTTAGTGGGCCCATTCAGAGGAAGTAAATCTCTGACGGATCAGGGCTTTCTTCATTAATGCTTCAGCTCAGCTGGAAACTACCAGCAAAATAAAGTATTGTTAAAATTGGTAGGGATGTCAGATGATACTTCCAAAGTACAAACTGGAAAAACAACTAACCATGACTTTCTTACTTCAATGTGTAATCCTGTGGTTAAACAAAATTGCCTTGTGAGTAATGCAGACACTTTTAAAATACAGTCATTTTATCTATTACAGAGCTTTTAAAAAATTCTGATATAGTAAATTATGCTTTTCCAAGATCTGACATGGAAATGATTGTTGTGTTCGCTTAAAAGAGGCTTTATGTTGTCTGAAAATGTGTGACATGATAGTCAGTTTTTTCCTGTTGTTAGTGAGGATCATCCATGCAGAAACACAGATTACTATAAGAGGAAGGAAAACTTTATTCGCTAAACCGCATTTGACTGGGGTACTCAGGAGCTCTTGTAAAGCATTAAGGAAAATATAACATGCAAAATAAGGCTTAACGGATTTTAATGTCACTGTGTTCTGCAGAAACTAAGATGATGACTGAGAGCTATGATTTGGTGTATTTCAGAGTCCATAGCTGACAGTATCATACTTCCAGGGTATGTAACCTATTCCAAGAGTTCAGAGTTCTCTTAGAGCTCATGCTCTACCACTGCTCTA